TGTGTGTGTGTGTGTGTGTGTGTGTGTGTGTGTGTGTGTGTGTGTGTATGTGTGTGTGTGTTGCCTGAGAAACATGAATCATTACATAAAGTCCCTTTTGGGTAACTCTAAAATTTCCGACGGCAGTAAATGCAGCACCGACTCCAGAGTGCAGTTACAGGGAAGCGGATGACAGTCAGTCTGCTTCAAAGCGCAACCAAACGCGTCCAAACACACAATCACACTATGGCAACAGCGCGGCTTTGTGTCCTGGTTGTTGTCCTCTCTGCGACTTCAGCAGAAGACTTTAAATTAAAATACAAACCATCCACGAAACCTGTCCGATTATTCACCGAGGAGGAGCTGAAGAGATACGACGGCAGCGTGGTAAACGTTATTTTGAACCCGTAATCCATTCATGCATGTGTGCACGATAACCATGTATCTCTTTTCCGTTGTTTCCCCCTCCCTGTTTTAGGAGGGACACCCTATCTACATGGCAGTAAAAGGAGTAGTGTTTGATGTCACCAAGGGAAAAGGTAAATACAATCCACCGCTCAAACCCTGAACATTATAATGAATTATAAGACAATAAAAACAATTGCCTTGTCACTTAAATGTGCTTTATTCATTCAAACAAAACTGTGACATGAAAGTAAAATGAACACATTGATGCCCACTTGAAAGCTTTCCAGTCCTTCTCCAGAGCCCGACACTTCATTTGAAATCTGCACATTTGTCCACTCAAAATGCACAGATGTTTTGAATTGATATCTTATTTTACACATTGCAGAGTTTTATGGAAAAGGTGCAGCCTACAACGCCCTAGTAGGCAAGGACTCCACGCGAGCTGTGGCTAAGATGTCCCTGGACCCAGCAGACCTGACATCAGATACTGTAGGTTTAGTGTTTTTGTCCTGGCAACAATTCACCCACCAGTTGTTTGGACCGCAGTGTTTCCCCATGACAGTGTATTAGTTATGGTTGACTCCCATGGGTGGGGAGCACCGACATCTGACACCTGAGTGTCGGCTGCAAAAACAGCATTGCATTTATAAACTATGCAACTAGACTGAAACTTCCCAGTTTCATCTGAATGCACCATACACACCGTAGACCTGTCAGTCGGTCTGCTCTTCCAACTGTATTTTAGTAGACTTTTGAAAGGAAGAAGCAGTAAGCACACAAACTCTACATATTAGAAACACTGGGACCGGACAGGTAAAAGAAAAGACTTCAATCAATCAAGGCCATAAACACTGTAGAATGACATACATAACTTTCTCTCATCCTTCACACCAAGATGCACTTGATTCAGGTGATGAATTGAGGATATTTGATACAACAGGATTTCTGAAGGACTTTAAAGTTCCACTTACTGATATTTGAATAGTACGTTTAGCATGTGTGAAGACTGCTTTGTGTGACTGAATTGTCCTGTTGTAATTATGTTGTGTTGTAAAAATATAATTTGTTCTTTTGTCTTGATCTCAGTGAGACTTCTTGAATAAGGCTTAACTGTAGTATAAGAGCGCAGAATGAGTCACCAACTCAAATGTGAAAAACAATGATTTGATGGTAAAAACTAACTGTTTCAGCACAAATGACGAATAACTCTTTGTTTGTTTGTTTGTTTGTGCAAGTGTCCGAGGACTTTCTTCACTTCCAGACTGCCTCTTCCTGTACTTTTCTTCTTTTGCTACCAACATGTTCATTTGTTGACTTACTGTAAAGATATCAATGACTTCAAAGGGCTTCATAATCTGCATAACATATATGACTACTGCTAATCAAAGTTCTTGTTTTCCATTTGTACATCCACAGACGGGCCTCACTGACGAGCAGCTGGAGTCTCTGGATAGTATATTTGAAGAGACGTACAAAACAAAGTATCCCATCGTGGGTTACACAGCATCACGCATCCTCACGGACGATGGAAGTCCCAACGCAGCCTTCAAACCAGAGGACCAGCCTCATTTTCAAATCAAAGATGAGTTTTAATCTCATTTTACCTTTTTGTAAAACATAGTTGTGAAAAAAAGTATTTTTGCTTTTTTAATATTTTCTCTTTACTTGACCAGAATCGGAGCGTAATATGCCGAGTGCAATATGTGTACAAGAGACGAGCAAAATACATAATGATACAAACACTTTGTATTCACATTTACGTCAACCAAAGGTTTACATGATCCTCTGTTATCTGTGGGAACATCCTTCTCGTCTCAAACTACACACGGTCATTCTGCACAGTGGAACTCAAATGAAGTAGAAATAAGCCAAATACCTTTTTGAATGGAGAGGTATTGCAGTGCATTATATGTGGTTACAGCGATAGTCTTTTACATTTTTCAGGGCAATAAAAAACAAATAAACTGAGTGAATGAACATACAGGAACGTAACTTGATTCGTTCCATAGAAAGACATAAACACAAAACACCATCTATCTATTTAGAAAAGGAAGAGTGAGCCGACACACCAGATGTAATTAACAAACGAAACATCGCCCCTCAGGATTTTCATCAGAAAATAGTGAAAAATTCTCAGGACTTCTTTCCAAACCCATGATAATCTCTTCAAATGTCTTGTTTTGTCCAGACCCCAACATGTTAAATTTACAGTGATTAAATGTTTAAAAAGAAAAGAAAAGCAGAACGTTGTCACATTGAGAAGCTGGAGCCAAAAAATATCTGGCCTTGTTGCTTGATACATGATTGTTGCCGATTCACTTTCTTTCCATGAATTGCTTAATTAAACTCTAGATTTTAGTACAACATGTTGTTATTGAATGCATCGTCCAGCAGAGTATCTATGTAATTAAAAACCACTGAATCTGCAGCTCTGTGAATGTTTTCTACCTTATGTTGTTTTTGTACAATTATCATTAAAGTCTGTAAATCTCAAACTTTTTACGTTTTTCACTTGAGTTTTACCGCTCACTGCTGTCGAGATGTTATCTTGATACGATCTGGCTTTATTACAGCTCATGACTCACTCGTGTCACCTCCAAGCAGGCAACATAACTAGTACGTCCGGGCTTATATTGCCTTACATGCTCCGATCAAAGGTCATCCGTTCCGGTGGTGAGGCAGGTGATTGACTTTAGGTGGAGCCGTGTGTCTCGCCCTGCCGGATGGTCACACTGGAGGTAAGTCTGTCCGTTTGTGTGTAGCCAAGTTGAACCTCCCACGTCACTTTGAGTGTTCTACAGCCGAGTTCAAAGGACACAAGCCCTGCCCTTGAGTCTGCCTGGCGAGAGCGGAGCTGCGTTCTTTATCAGGTGGAGATCCTGCTGGGAGTCGACCACTGCAGCCTCGGTCTACCTGGGAAACACTTTCTTCTGCTGGACCTCGTCCACCAACCAGAGCCAAGATGCCCAAAACAGTAAGACTCTCATGATTTTGGTGAAAAGATTAAATGCGTCACTGAAATGTCTCTTCCTGGTTTAAGTTTGAAAGGGGGGGGGGTTTGTATTCATCTGTCTAAATACTGCAGGAGAAACACCTTTTTAAAAAAAACAAATTTAAGGGTCAACCATATTTATTTTTTACCGTTTTAATCAGATCATTTTCTACGTTCAAGCTTGTGAGTTGTTTCTAAGAGGCACCTGTTCTTCTTGGCATTTACTCATTAACCAAATGTAGAGTTTGACCCATGCTGCACACATTCCTGGCAGAAACAGTGTTACTGAAATGCTACTTCATGGCTGGAACAGTGCCGCATTTTGTCTGTGTGGTCGTGCAGAACGACCAAAGTGATTTTGTAAATGTCAAGAGTAACTTTCACCAACAACTCATGGCTATGGTTTAACTGCCTTGATTTTATAAGACAGTCATCAACAATCAATTTTCCATCCTAAACAAAAGAATCCCTTATGCATTTATTTGCTATAAGTCCCTAATTCTCCCAGTTAGA